GTGCCCATTTGGTTTCAGTATCAAGTCTTACAATACCTGGTCAACACACAATGGGCCTTTAATAAATATTCCCGACTACCTGACTGAAGAATTGATGCCTCTGAACTGTGGTGTTGGCAAAGAATATTGAATATACCATGGACTGCCAAAAGAATGAACGAATCTGTCTTGGAAGAAGTACAGCCAGAAAGCTCCTTATAAGCAAGGATGGTGAGACTACATTTCATGTACTTTGGACATGTTATCAGGAGGGACTACTCCCTGGAAAAGGACATCATACTTGGTAAAGTAGAGGGTCAGAGAAAAAGAGGAAGACCCTCAATGAGACAGACCGACACAGTGGCTTCAACAATGGGCTCAAGAATAACAAAAGATTTTGAGCATGGTGCGGGACCGGGCAGTGTTTCATTCTGTGGTGCATAGGGTCACTATGAGTCGGAAGCAACTCGATGGCATGTTAACAACAACAGCTTGACCACTTTGAACAACAGACATAAATCTGTTACCTGTGATCCAACAAAGAAATCTAGAAGTAATAAAGCCAAGCAATACGTTACAATAAAGAATTCAGTTTAATCCATGTAACCTTAAGCATTTTGTTAATATTAAATTTAGCAATTCTCTGAACTTTTATGAATAAACATAATAAAGGTCATAATCTTTCCTGTTGCCTCATAATTAAACTGAATGTCATACTTGCCTTCAATGTTTTAGGCCAGGGAGGGAGTAGGGAAAAGAGTAGGATTAATCAGAAACCTGTAAAGTGATACCAAACTTTTCTGTGTTTGTATGGATGTACCTACCAGTGTGACATATGTATAATTATATTTTCCCCCAAAGTTCATATTAATATTCCTCTAATAATTTAACTCAGCTGGGAATCCAGATACAGCTGTCATTACGAAAAGCAAGCAAGCAAGAAAGAAAAAGACAAAAACTGAATGAAACAGGAAAGAAACGAAGAGAAAATGGGAGGGAGGGAGAGAGGGAGGTGGGAAAAGAATAGCTACATAACACAGTAAAATGAAAAAAATCTATTTACATTAAAGTCGTTCCTATTGAAATTTGCAGTGAAATTCAGATTCCCACTGAAGTGAAATGTGCTCATCTCAGGTGGGTGAGAGGCAGGGTGTTGTTGTAAAAGAGAATCAATATTTTACTTGACAATTTCCATGCTAAATCCCAGTCATTTTCAGTGTCATTCCACTGTCATTTTCCCACAGTAAATAAAGAGTAAGAGTATAATACATATTTTTACCCCTGGGGTATGTAAACCTGATCTCAACTGCACAATTGCAAAAATCATCCGGCAAACTCTTGGTAGGGTAAATCAAAGGAGAATGTATGCTTACCCGAGATGAACGGTAGCCACTGGGCTGTATGTTAACTACATTTAGTTTTGGACAGTTCTATCAAATATACTCTTAAGTCTGCCTAATAATTTACTCACAGTCATGCAGGTTATCATAAGCCTACCACTAAAATCTAAAAACTTCACTATGACAATTTTCCTGTCAATTTTCATTTCTGACTTAACTTGATAAAAGCCTCACAAATTCTCTCCAGGAGATTCCATTATTTTCCACGCTAATACCTTCAATGAAATGTACAGAATTTATTTATCATGTCACAGTTCTGTACCTTTTATTTCCCATTCCCATTTGCAATTATAGCTTCAGAAATGGCAGCATTTGCACTATTAAGAAACAAATTAAAAAATACCTGCCTTATTTAGCACACTTAAGCTACTTTCCTTCCTGCATTTTTCATAATCTTTTTTTTCTTTTTTTTTTAATGAGCTGTAATTGAAGTCAGTAAGACTTAGGATCTGATAATTCCATACTTACAGACATTCTTTCATTTTCTGTAGTATATATGTCTTTCCAAAATCTGGCAAAATTCCATTCTATAGAGTTGAAAAATTCCATAAAGCATAATAAAGGATTAATCTTTCAACTGATACATTACCATATCACAGTATGATTACCATTTCTTAGCAAGTTCACGCAAACGAACTGATTTCAAAAGAGATCTACATGAGTGTTAAGTTTCGAAAAAGTCCAGAATCAAACAGAAATTTGTAAAAATCACATTCTCAACATACACATCTTACTCTCAACTTCTAAAATAGTCACACCCATTATCAATAAATATTTTATATTTGATCAAATTTACATCTTATTTATACCGCTGTAGTATGTTATGAATTCCAAAGCTGACTCTGTTGTCTCCTGGAAAATAATCTAAGGATCGGGAAGAACATGCTGATTGTTACCAGTGATAAAGATCGAGTGCAAATATTTCATGCATTGTACCATTACTCGGATTTAATTTAATCTATTTCCTGAGAAAACCTGAGTGCCTCTGTGAGCAGGGACTAAATACAGTCAGAACTGCTGCTATTATGATTTGCAAATGCTTTTTTGTTTCCACACTGAATATACCTTTACGATCTTTCCCAAGTTCTCAGTCTGCTTGCAAATAAAAGTTCAACAATGTCGCTAATTATTTGTATCACAAACTACTACAAATCTACGTATTATCTAAGTATTATGGATTACAAAGTAGACTTTCAGGAATTATTCGTTTAAGGTCACTTTGAAGTCTGCAGCATCAAGGACTATCCCCAGTAGAAACATCAGCAATAAAACTAAAATAAAACCTAAAAAGCAAGCAATGAATACAAACAACAGCATACATTAAAAACCAGTATTTCAATAGTTACCTTCAGCAGGTCCTTGGAGAAATCACCACCCTCATTTACTCCTTGGAGATTTGCAATGAACTCTTGGCAGGTCATCTTCTTGCCAATATTCTGTAATAGAGGCAAAGAACACATCTTAATGATATTTATTGGACAAAGAGTAATTTTTAAACATATGACTAGACAATGCAAGAACTGATCTGGTTTTTAAAGACATGAATACATATGCACATATATATATATAATACAATTTAATATGCATACCAAAAACAGATGGTTTATTATACTTTTAAAACTGTCATTAAATGTAAATTGCAAAATTATGCTAAACCCTTGTTTTAACCTAAGAAATCTGAAAAATCTGTGTTACATTTATGTAAACAATATATAATGAAGTTTTTGATGAAAAATGGGATAAAACCGACATTCTGAGCTGACGTCTGCTGGCTGTTTGTATTTCCTACATATCGTCAAGAACTGTGAAGAATCTGAGATTTTGCCTTCCTTTCAAGCTAACAGGTAAGCCTGCCACAATCTCACAGATGCTGGCAGAAGACATGAAAGTCCCGGGTGAGAGATACAGGAATTTATTACTCACAAGAACAGAAGTAGCCAGAATGTCAGCATATTCTCGTGCCAGTTTTCTAAGCCCCAATTCCCACAAAGCAACCTGAATAGGACCAGGTGACACCTGTATACACAGTGGTTGTGTTACAGGACAGAAAACCTGAACTTCAGGAACCTGAGTCTTTTATAATGAGCAGTAAGCATGCCTAACTAACCAGGTGCTCTAGAGGGAGATACTAACTCTATCTTACAAGGCTATTAAGTAAGCCTGCCCATTGCTCTGGAATCACTCTATCTTCCAAAGCTGCCCACTCTAGAAATATCCTTGAAAGGACAGTTCAGAGCAAAGGTAACGAATGCTTCTGCTCACAAAAATATTAAAGGGAAGAGACCCATGGAAAATTGCCCCCAACACATTTCCAAAGATAATTTAGGGATAATAATGTTTAACCAAAGAAAATCACATTGATAAACAATAAATAATTGGAAAATCTAAAGTACAAAAACACAAAAGATGCAAATCTGCTGACCATGAAAACAAACATAAACCAAAAACCAAAAAAAACAAACCCATTGCCAATGAGTCGAATCCGACTCATAGCAACCCGACAGGTCAAAGTAGAACTACCCCGTAGGGTTTTCAAGGAGCAGCTGGTGGTTTCAAGCTGCTAACCTTTTGATGAGCCGCCAAGCTCTTAACCACTGTGCCACCAGGCATACTTGCTATATCAGCAAATTATATCTTTTCCTCAGCTTATTGAGAATCTGCTTAAAAAAAATATGAGATACAAACTTAGAGATGAAGAAGTTGCCAATTTCTGTACGGAAAAAGGTTTTTCTAGCCCTAAATTAAAAATTTAAAAAACAGGGTTGACAATGCATTTAGGGGAATTTCTGTAGTATAAATGAAACACACACACACACACGTATATCTATATTTACATATATACACACACATACACACATTCAAGAAAAATCAAAGTACAAAATTTTGTCCAGAATATGCGTCTGTCCAACCCTAGAGATAAGCCAAGTATAACACGTTAAAGGAAAATTAAGAACCCCACGCATCTGTCAGTTTGTCGTACTGTGGCAGCTTGCATGTTGTGGTGATCCTGGAAGTTATGTCACTGGTATTCAAATACTAGCAGGGTCACCCATGGCGGACAGGTTTCAGCTGAGCTTCCAGACTCAGAAAGACTAGGAAGAAGGACCCGGTGGTCTACTTCTGAAAAGAATTAGCCAGTGAAAACTTTACGAATAGCAGCGGAATATTGTCTGATATACTGCCAGAAGATGAGCCCCTCAGGTTGGAAGGTACTCAAAAGACAACTGGGGAAGAGCTGCCACCTCAAAGTAAAGTCAACCTTAATAACATGAATGGAGTCAAGCTTTTGGTACCTTCATTTGCTGAGGTGGCACAACTCAAAATGAGAAGGAACAGCTGCAAACATCCATTAATAACAGGAACGTGGAATGTACAAAGTGTGAATCTAAGAATACCGGAAATCATCAAACATGAAATGAAACACATAAACATAAATATCCTAGACATCAGTAGCTGAAATGGACTGGTACCAGCCATTTGGAATCGGACAATCATATGGTCTACTGTGGTGGGAATGACAACTTGAAGAGGAATGGTGTTGCATTCATTGTCAAAAAGAACATTTCAAGATCTATCATGAAGTACAATGCTGTCAGTGACAGGAAAACATCCATGAGCCTACAAGGAAGACTAGTTAATAAGATTATTACTCAAACTTACGAACCAACGACTAATGCCAAAGATGAAGAACTTTAAAATTTTTATCAACTTTTGCAGTCTAAAATTTCTCAAACCTGCAGTCAGGATGCATTGATAATTACTGGTGATTAGAACGTGAAAGTTGGAAACAAAGAAGAAGGATGGATAGTTGGAA